TCATGTAGAAAAAGGTACATTTATAAACACTGTAAGCAGAGAAAATGAAAAAAAGGATAATAAATCGTAGTAATATATACAAATTCTCATTAACAGGCATGTGCTAAATCAGTGCGTAGTTTGTTCCTATTATTTTTTACCATTATGTTTCCCCTTTTTTTTCTATCATTGTTAATTGTAACTTTAATTGAAATTTCTTTTTTCTTTTGTTCACATGAAAAAAAAGAGATGAATAAAAAGAAATGAAAAAAAAAAAAAAAAAAAAAAAAAAAAAACATTTAAGCGTGTAACAAATAGTAATTCAGTGTATAAATGAATAAGGGATAACAAATCAATGGATATTTTAAAAGGTGTTATGTGTGTGGTGAATGATTGTGTAGAAATTATGTAAAGCTTTTTTATATATATTGTGTTCCTTTGGTCTGTAACTTTTTTTTTTTATTATTTTAGACATAAATTATGTAAAAAAAGGCATAGATCGAAAATTGCGAATTTTGTGAGAATGACAATGTTCCAAAGTTGGGGGTGGGTGGGAATTGTGTTGTGTATGTAAACATAAAATGTGCATACATTTCAGTTGTACTATGTATGAATGATAACTGAAAAAAAAAAAAAAAAAAAAAAAATGCTGATAAAGGCGTTGTGCTCACGAAAATACTAAAAACATATTGATATTTATATGGAACAAATTTTCTCTCCCCATTTGTTGCTTAAAGAATTAATTCAAATCTGTTTCATTTCATTAACAACTTGCACTGATTTCTCTTCTTTTTTTTTTTTTTTTTTTTTTTTTTTATTGGGGGCAAGATGGGGAAGGGAATAAAGGTTTTGGAATCATATCTTTTTTTTAATTTGTGTATGATAATTTGTTCATGACAATTTTTGCATGTTAACTGTGTGTACATGTACGTGGGTACCCACACTCGTACATTTTTTTTTCCCCCACTTTGTGTGCACACATACATGCACGTGTAAAAAAAATATATATATATATATATATATATATATATATACATATATTAATCCTAATAATATTTCAGAAATGATAACATTATTTCATTTTTCTAGTAAGTAAAATAAAAAAGAGAGATTTTTTGATCATTTACATTTACAAAAAAAAAAAAAAAAAAGAAAAAACGTTTTCTAAGAGAACGCTTTCCTTTACATTTTTTTGTCTAATTTTTTTTTTAAATTCTATGTTACAAAGCTTAACAACTTTTTCATCTGTTTGTCGCAAAACGATATTTTGTCACGATAGAATTTTCTTTTTATTTTTTATTTTATTTTTTTTTTTTTTTTTCCTTTTTGGGAGAAGCCACAATGATGATGAAAAACTTAAATAGTAATAATAATGACACTGAAATTGATGACATCTCAGTAAACATAAATAACAGCAACGATTTTGACAGAGTCTTAAATGAAATTAAGCTAAAAGAGCTTCAACTTGAAAAGCTCAAAACGAAAAAACACACGAAAAATAAAGCAAAGTCCCAAAATGGTAACAATATAGAAAATAATAAAGTAAGTGTAAACCAGAAATCAGAGAAAAATGCAAAAAAAAGCGACAGAATTCTTAGCAAAGGTAAAGGAAGAGAAACTTTCCTGCCAAATGAAACAATCAAAAAAAATGTAAAAGGAGTGACAAACTTAATAAACGAAAAGAACGTTAAAAGTGCAAAACACGTACAGAAAAATGTACAGAACAACGATTTGTATGATACACCTGTTTTCCCCCAGATAACCTCCTTAATTTTATACCATGAAAAAGAAAATAACTACTCTGAATCTTCCAGTAGCATTAAAAATGTAATAAATGAAAAAGTAAAAAGACACAGTTCAAACCATAAAATTGAGAAGCATACCATATATGATATTTATGCAAAAACGTTAAAAAAATTGTCAATTGAAGATGAAAGTGACGTCTTAAAAGAAAGTGATGAAGAAAATTTTTATTTCAGCATGAACAAAATTTCAGACAAGAGAAAAAATAATTTAAATTTTTCAAACTCTAATTTTTCAAATAACACTTCAGATATATCATCATTTAATTTTATTCCAACATACCAAACTAAGAATAGAAACGTGGAAAAAAGAAACAAAGGTCAAAATGTAAAGGACTCAAGGTTGCGACATATGAAACGTTGCAGCGTGGATTCACAACACCACAAACACAGCAAGGAGAAAAAAGAATGCAAAAAATCAGATCAGTTTAATTCGAAAGGTTCTGCTAAAAATCATACAAATGATGTAAATCATACAGATGGTGTAAGCCACGCAAATGATGTAAACTATACAAATGATGTAAACTACACAAACGATGTAAACTATACAAGTGATATGAATACCACAAATGGCAAAGATTTTTACTATGATGAAGAAATGCATGACGTCTCGCACCTAAACAAGTGTCATCATAGTTATAAAGGTGGTAGTGACCACTCGGGTGAAAAGAAAAACATAAAGGGAACGGCAAAAAATGAAAATGAAGGGGAAAAAATAGGAAGAGAATCAGATGCATGTGTAAATGAAAAGAATGAGGATGGAGGTATTTACAAAAGTCAGGAAAGGTGCAAATTAAAAGATGTAGACATAGATGAACAATCTTATATGTATGATGAAAAGCTTCCTACAGACTTCCTAAACGTAGAAGAAAATAAAAAATGCAACACAGAAGAATCAAAATCTTTGGAAAAAGAATATTTCATACAAAAAGAAAATAGAAATTCTAAAAAGGAACAAAAAGTATTTTTGCACAACGGTAATAATAATAGCACTCATAATGAATCACAAAAGGAAAGTGATTATTTAGGCATGTCGAATTCATTGTACATTGAAAGCTTACATGAAGGCAAAGAAGAAAAAATGAAAAATAACCAAGTAAAAAATGGAAAATGTGACACAACCAATATTAAGATTAAGGATAATGTCATAAGTAGCCATGACAATAACAATAATGCATATGATGGAAAGGGATCAATACAGACATCATTGCAGGGCATTTCTCAAATTAATATGTATGATTCATTAAATAACCATTTACATAAAAAACGAAAATATGCAAGTGGAAAACAAAATGGAGATTACGCAAAATCAGACATAACTACAACTGATTCTGAATTTTCTATAGATGAAAAGTTAAACATGTCATACGAGACTTTTAAAAATAAAAACAGAAATAATGAAATGTTACCTGTTGTACAATCTACCAAAAGTAAAGAGAATCTACTAAAAGTAGTAAATAGTAAACCCATTTTAAATATTAGGAAACTGTTAAGAATAATGCGAGAATTTTATGTTGGATTTATTGGTCTACAATTAATTTATTTTATAACATATCTTCTTTTTGGCAATAATAGCATTTACTTAATTCAAATTGTTTCCATATCTTGTACTTTCTTTTCCCTATTAGATGCCAATTATCACGGTTATTTACTAAATGGCTTTATTGACATGTGTATTGCAATTTTTTTAAATATAGCCATTTTACAAGACATCGCTGGTTTTAAAAGCGTAAAAACTAATGATGTCCTAAAAAATATAACCGTGTCAAATGTTGTTTTCCTCTATTTCTTTTCTGTGTTCTCATTTTTGAATAGTTATTTTATACATAAATTGCACACCATGGAAAGAAAAAATATAAAACATGTAATACGAAGCATCGAATCAAAGGCGGGAACGGTTGTTAAAAGCACCACGTTGGCTATATCACCATCCAAAAGTGTTCATTAAATATGTTTCTAAGTGCATGTGCAGGAATGTATATATATATATATATATATGTGTGACTATTAAGAAATCTGAATTCGCGGAAGAAAAAAGTAAAAAATGGACTGCTTGAACTCCCTTAATTTTGCATGACCCCCTTTTCTCATAATAAAAATGTTTTAATTAAAAACTTTTTTTTTACATTTTCTCATACCATATCAACACGCTTGGGATGAAAAGTGTGTAGGTATGCATGCTGCCTTTTGCGTTCCTATTCGTGTATATTTTTTTTTTTTTTTTTTTTTACTTTGTTCTATTTTTTATTTTATTTTATTTTTTTTTTTGTTGTAATATTTAATTACTTGCTAACCTTAAATTTCCCTTTTTATTACATAAGGGTAGGAAGAAACTATACTTTGGCAAAAGGTACTTAAATGCAAAATAAAATGAAGTTGTTTTACTTAAACATTTGCAATAAAAAAAAAAAAAAAAAAAAAAAAAGTGTATATTATAATATACATTTTTTGCATAAGTTACTGTTCCTTTTAACCTGTTTGCATTTCATAAATGCACATTAAACAAATTGTGCTCAAGCATGTTTCATGTACTTATCATTTCGTCCAATTGGTATTTATGTTTTCCAAACAGTCACTGATGAAGGAAGGAAAAGTAGAAAAACATGATAAGACTTAGCAAAATAATGGAAAAATGGATTAAAAAAAAAAAAAAAAAAAAAAAAAAAAAAAAAAAACAACAAATCTGAATTACACGTAATAAACTACGCAAATTGGAGCATGCAAATTTCATGATTTTTTTTCAAATTTTTGGCTAATCCCAAAGTAGACAGGTGAATATTTCTATAAATGACCTGTTTTTTTCATTGCATTAAGCCTAATATTCTTGTTTTCCCTAAACAAGAAAAAAAAAAAATCACATTTTCTTTTCTTTATCGTATTTCCCCACAATGCACATAACACATACTGAGTGACTTGTTCACATAAAATTATATTTTTCACCCATAGAAATGTACTTTTTTTTTGTTTGTTTTTTCATTTTACAGTAATTTTTGTATATTTATTTTCATATTACATAAAAAAATAGACAAAAACATACATTATAACTGAAAAAGAAACACAAGCGTTTTTTTTTTTACTACTAAAAGTATCTTTATTTACAAATATATTTTTGTCGTACATAGCAATGAAAATGTAAATCTACCGAAAAGAGAATTAAAGGAAATAAAGTAAATTTTAAAAGATATGATAAGTAGTTCTTCGCGTAAACATATCACATCAAATTCATTAAAGTGTGCAAAAAGAGGAGCAAGGAAAATTCTATATCCTTTTTTCCCCTTTAGATATGAATACACACATAATAATATGCGTCGTATGGGGAATAGTAAAAAAAAATACAAGTTATATTCGTAACATTTTTTTTTTTTTATTTTAGAAAAACTATTTTTTATTTCATGTTTTTTTTTTTTTTTTTTTTTTTGCTTCTTTCTTGTGCAGTTATTTATAATTTAAAAAGTATTGTGTGTTTTACTTCTCTAGTTCTAAACTTTTAAAGAAGAAATATAAAACTTGTAATTGTATATGTCTCATATATTTCATTCATGCATGTGTAACATACATGCACACATATACATTTTGTTATTTAAAAGGTTATATATGGAAAACATATTTTTTTGGTAAAAATGTAAAAGCAGAAGCTCGTAAAAAAAAAGTAATTCAGGAAAAAAGAAAAAAGAATAAATTTATTTTTATTGAATAACTCTGTTCCAAAAGACATTATAACGCTATTAAATTGCTTAATTTCTTTAATGTACAATACATCAGAGAGCACAACATTTAAATAATAATCATATTTTATTTATATATTTATTTTATATAACATAAAATGGTCCAAAAAATGGAAAACGACAACCACGATTTCAACACTTGTAGTAGCAATTTTGATATGTTAATGAAAAAAATATGTAACGAATTAAAAAAAGGAGATAAAAACAAAAATGGGTTAATTATGTATAATACTTTTATTGATGTACTGGATTTATTTCAGATTGAATATGGTAGCTCCATTATGGACTATTTAATGAAACATTGTATTGTGACTGAAGACGGGTTTGTGAATTATAAGAAATTGTGGCTTATTTATGATCCTTCAAAAGTAACGAGAAATAATTCTGAATCTGTGGAAGAATCCATTAACCCTAAATTTATCGACATTCAGGATAGGTATGAAGACACTGATAAATATGCTCAGGAAAAAAATGAAATTATAAGAAAATTATATTCCCAGTGGGACAAATGCTTATTAAAAGATGATGAATTCAAAGCCAAGCTAATTAATGGGAATGTTGATATTACTCCCGAATTTGAAAGATCTCTATACTTACATGGCCCAAGTAGATCCTTAAGTTTTGCAAATGTAATGAAAACATTGTACATTAACAATAGTAAAAATAGAAAGAACAGAAGCAATTTTGTAAGCAAAATAAAAAATGAAAAATGGAAGAAATTAAATATTGATGAAAGTGAACAGCATTCTTTTCAAGATCCCCCAAGAAATCCAATAGTATGGGGAGAACCAAATGTCACAGATCTAGATAACGTAATTCAGAGTGTTGAGCTTATTTCAAAACATTTTATGGAAAACGGAAATTTTAACATCAAGGACGAAAAAATCATATCAAAGGATTTTTTTAATAATACAGTGAAAAATTTAATAAAAAACTACATTAGTAACAAAATTTCAGAGAATGAATTTTATTTATGTTTAAATAAATTAAATATATCAATAACGCCGAAATTAAATAACTTGATAAAATCCCATGAATTAGACAGCAATGGAAAATTTAAAGATTTTTCCACAACAATAAATAGATGCATACCAAAAAACATCTCACATAATTTAGAAAAAAATATGCACTTATGCATGGTTCAAAAAGATGACAAAAATTCAAAGTTAAATTTTTCTTTTAACAATATCCCTTGTGATCAATTATCCCCTGAGAAGACTAGTGATAACCCATACTCTAATAACCATATTAACAAACACTAGTTGTTACACTTTAAAAATAAAACAAAATAAAGAACCTGAATTCGTAGAAAGGAGTAAATAGGTATCGACGTATATTAATGGGGAATTTCACTTTTTTGTATTTATGCAAGTGTTTATATATGTGTCTGTGCCAGAATCATACAAAACATTAAAATTATTATAGCTCATAAATATTTTTATTGTTTTAAAAAATACAAAAGTGTTTATTTATTATTAATAAACATACGTTATTCTAGCAATTTTTTTTTTTTCTTTGTTTTAAGCTCGTTTAATTCTATAAATACAATATATTCGCTTAACGTGTTCCTTTTTCCCCGTAAGCCGCTATTTTCAAATTTCGGTCTCTTCATTTCGGTTTTCTTTTATATTTTACTTGTAAAATTTTGAAATAATTACCGGAATATTTTATTTAAAGTATTTTTTTTCATTTGTATATTATCCTATACCCACAATTCAATTATTTCTGAACATTGTATTAATCTCTTATTGTATGTGTATAAAACAGTATTAACTGTTTTAATAAAATTTCCCTATTTTATAAAATAATAAACGTGAAATACAAACCAAGTAAATTGTGTACACTTATTTAGGAATGTATGTTATAACAAAAAGTAGAAGTAAAAAGTTATGGATATGCCATGAGCTCAAAGAATTTAAGTGCATAAACTCTTGTTTCTTTAAGTAGTTTTGTTCTATAAACTTCATATATATTTAAGTATTCATAATTACTTCTATGTTTCATTTCACACGAAATATTGCTACAGAATGATTTTTTCTACCTTTTCTAAACGTATGCTCTCAACATGTCCGCTAATGAAATAGCGTGGGGATAAATATATAGTAGTTTATGGTATATTGCACATGCTTTTTTTTAAACGTTGTAATTAAACGAAGGGAAGAGGTGTTAAAATATTTCTTAAAAGAACAAAATGAGGATAAAATTTACTAGCATGTAACACTAGTTTAAGATAAATAAGTAACCCAGGTAACATGACAAATTCCTGTGATTTTTCTTTTTTCTGCTTTTTGGAAAATAGACAGCTATAAATTAATCCTAAATTATGAACAAGGTTTTTACACATGTATTATTTCTTTTGATTTGATGTAAAGTTTTTACATTCGTAGTTCTACATTGCTCTGACAAATGCAGAAAATATGTATTAACTTGTATATATATTTCCGTTAGGAAATAAAAATTGCTTCTTTTTATGTGTATACATATTTTTTAGTGTCTATAGATAAGCCTAATAACATTTTTTATTTGAATTGAACAATGCGAGATTTATGCTTGTGCTAAAGATTTTATGAGAAGATACGACCACTTTTGCTATATATTGTCCTTACCACTTCTTCTCACTCGTTCGAACTTGAAAACCATTTAACATAAATACTTTCTTTAGAATAAGGAAGGTTACTTACTTTAAACTATACATAAATGTACATATTAAAAAATGCATCTCCCATAATTACCCCGTTTATTTATTATCTTCAAAATTGTGTCCATTTATGGTCTTCTTTATGTTTTTTAAACGTTATACCCGTTTTCGTTCTAATTACGTGTACTTAATTTGATTTGAATTTGAAAGAACCTTTTCTCTTTGTGAAGAGGAATAATCCAACATAATGATACGAAAAACAAAACATTGCAAATATCTGAAGTCCTATGTTTCTAAAAAAATATGTAGGCGTAATTTGAATTTAAACTTTTATTTCAGCATAACCATTTCCAATAAAATTTTTAGTGGAAGGTAGTTTGCTTCTGAGGAAACATTTAGTATCTTTTTTTATTCATATGAACTTACAATCACACATACACATTTTAAAATGTGTCCTTAATGCATAAATAAACATCAATATGGGGATTTAATGATAAAACCTTTAAACAGCTTAGGTAGAAAGCACACACATATACTTCGCAAGAAAGCATTTGACACTTTTCCTGCAATAAACAAATTTTGAAGGAAATTACTTATTTCACACCTTTTATTTTTGGGGGAAGGAAAAATAATTCATATTACATATAAGTCATTTCAGACATGTGTGTAAAAATAGACGAATGGAATTGTTGACTATTAACATAGCAGTTATTGTAAAAGCTACTTGTGCTGCGGAGCTTATGTGTCACAAACTCAAATGATTCCTTTCTGTAAGAAAAAAAAAAGGTATGCAATTTTTTTAGAAAAATCGTGTTTCTTCTCTTTTAACGAGAGAGAAATTGTTACGCAAAGATGTGTTTATTTTCCTCCTTTCAACATGTGGGTGATAAAAAACTTAATATGAAAAATTAATTAGATATCCCATAAATATGTATCTATACTTTTACATAACAATAGCATTTTAAAGAACACTCTTGTTTAAAGGGAAGTACTTTTTCAAAATTTGCTAAGTATAATTTGTTCTATATATTATCCATTAGACAGTTTTACAACACATGTAGTTCATTTTTTTTTTAAATACTTTCATTGTAAGGGCATTTTATTAAATTTATATGATAATGTCATTATTCGGATTACTCATTCTAATTTGAGACATAGAGTGAAAGAAACAAAATAAAATATGCTTTAGTAAAATTCTGAATATTATTTCTTGCATGAAATACTTTCTCATATAGGTCTTATTCATAATATACACACAGTAGCATTATTTCATTGTTAGATCAGGAAGTACTTAAGTTTTAAAAAAGCGAAGAAAACACTTTGTTTTTCTCTTTCATTTTTTCATCAGATGAAATTTTTATGAAATTGTCTAAAATTAAATTATCACTGGTATATTACTGAAAGTTAATGAGTTCTCCAAAGTAAACTAATCTTTAAAAATGAAAAAGTGCTAATAATGAAAACATAAAATAATAGAGTAAATAGATGAAATTTACATTTTATCTTAGTCGCAAAAAAAATAAAATGTTTATGGATATTTAAATTTAAAAGTTCATTATAGTCTTTGCAAAACGTGCGTAATTAATTCAAAAGGAAAATCGCAAAGGTTTGAACCTAATAGTTGCCTTTAAAAGAACTGTAATGCACTAAAGATGTTTTAATATAAAAGTATAAGAGGCCTGAAATAAATTATATTAATATAAAAATAAAACCTAATAAAAATTGTACGAGTTAAGTAATTAGGACTCTGTTATAAAATTAAAATTATCAACATTTAAAATATATACTAATAAAATATATAACACACATTAATTTATTAAATTCATTATTCTATAAAATTAAGAAATAATTATATATATGTCTTATTTATATTAAATATCATAATAATTTCAGTACTCAATAATTTTTAATTTAAATTTTATTACATAGTTAATTAGACAAAATTATTAAAGTGAATATTACGATTGAATTAATTAAAATAATATTTTATTCATCCAATTATAAAATTATTTATCTTAATAATCAAATATATAACATAACTACTTTTTTAAATTATAATTGAATTAATTAGTATATTTTAGTGTAGTTAATTATTTTTACAAAATAAAATAAATATTTCAATATAATTAATAACTAATTAAATAAATTAAATAATAAATATAAATAAATAAAAATAATAAATATAAATAAATAAAAATAATAAATATAAATAAATATAAATAATAAATATAAATAAATTAAATAATAAATATAAATAAATTAAATAATTAAACAAATATATATTAACTAAACAATTAATACATCAGTAATTTAAATATATTCAATACATAAATTTATTATTTTAAGTTGTTTTCGAACTATCTAAACAGATTCATTAATGATAGTTATTTTTAATTTATTAAAATCAATATTAATTGCTGTTACAAATATTATTTTAATATTTTTGAATTCAGCAAAATAAATATTTATTTATAATAATATAAATACATTAATTATAATTTTGTATAATAAATTAGTTAAATAAGACAAATATAACTTTTAATATGTAATATGAATAAATTTTAATTCATATAATTCAAAAATTTATTTATTTGTCATATTTATAAATTAATTAATTTTATATATACCATTATTAATTATATAATAATTTATAAAATAAATATATTTTTTATTTTCTTAATAATAATTTTGAATTTGATTATTAGTAAATATATATTATTATATATGCATTTTTTTTTTTAAATTAAATAATTAATTTAATTAAAATTTTTATAATTAATTATCTCCGCATATTAATGAACGATATTATGTAATATTTTAATATTTATATAATTGATTTACTTAATTAATTATCATTAATAAAATATTTTTTTTAAGTTTATACTACAATTAATTAATTAAATTATTCAGTTTATTTACTTAATTATTATTATAATTATTTAGTTTTTTTTATTATGTAATTAATATAATTAACAATATATAAAATTGTATATATTTATTAATTCTTTAATATATATATTATATTTTTATTTATTTATTTCATGTATTATTTATATTTAAAAAATAATGACATTTACTCTTTTATATATTAAATATATATTATTAATAATTAATTTAATGTATATATTTATTTATTTATTTTATTTAATATGTACATAATTCATTTATGTAATATATTTTCATATTTTATTTATAATTAACTTACTTATTTTTTTTTTTAATATTTGAATAATTTATTATATATATATATATATATATAACCACTTATTTAATATAATTAATTTGTTTATTGCTTAATTAATGTAATTTAATTAATATATTTGTTTTTTTAATTTTTTTTTAAAAATATATTTAATTAATTTTTTATTAATATATTTATTTTTTTTTATTTTATTTATATATATATTTATTTAATTAATTTTTTATTTTATTAATATATTTATTTTTTTTTATATTATTTATATATATATTTATTTAATTAATTTTTTATTTTATTTATATATATATTTATTTAATTAATTTTTTATTTTATTAATATATTTATTTTTTTTATTTTATTTATATATATATATATATTTATTTATTTATTTAAGTTTTTTATTTAATTAATATATATAATTAATT